AAAGGCACAACAACAAAAACATTTACTACGATTTTTACTGCGACTGATGTACGAAAAATTAAGTAATTTAACGTATGACAAAGTGAACAGAATTGTGTCACTAAACTGCTCAATAGATATTTAGAACAATAATTATTGTTATACGAAATATAAAAATATCAGGATTCTTATCAAAGACCTACTTTTCAGGATACTTTGTTGTGTCCACTACAATATCAAATACAATATTTCTAAAGCAATCACACTCAATAAAACACTTACATCTTAAAACACGCCAATAAAATCATAGAATACAAATCAGAATGTTTGTTATATTAGTCATCATTATTTTTAGGTAGATACCGACCAAATATCGTGCGGACGTAGTAGAAGACATACCACGTGCCATTTTAAGGCCAATTAGGAATAAATAAATAATTTAATTCTGGAGCCGATTTTGTTACGAAAAAGTGTATAAAAACATACGAAATCCGTTTCCGAAGAAGGATACACGCGGCTGTCACCAAACTCCACACAACTCTCGCTGATGATCTTCACGACCTCAGACTACGGCAACACCGCCAACAGTAAGAAACAATGTCTATCTCTCGTATCCGCTTTTATTATGAATCACACACACACACATACACATGCTGACTTTATAATACATACACACATATCACAACATTTTATTGTTTCTCACATACATACACAAAGACAGTTTATATTTTATTTCAGAACATTATCAACCCAAACAAAAAGACATTACTTTCCAATCAATCATCAACTGCTTCTATTCTTGTCGTTATATTAAATTAATATTTATTTGTTGAAACTACGTTGTCTTTTCTACTGAATTTTATTCTTTCAATGAAAATCGTGAGATTATTGTAAACGGCCAAATTACGAGCGACCCCGAAAACGATATTTTGTTATTGTATCGAATCCCGACACTCCAAATTTTAACATTCAATGCAAAACCGAGTAGAAGGATTCCTACTACTTGAAACGACGTAACATCTCTTTTATGAAATTGATATCTTTTCCATTTCCTTGAAACAGAAATTAAACACCCCTATCTTCTTTACTTCCCTTCTTTCTTTCTTTCTTTTTTCTTATTGAAACCACTTACCATGGCTATGCCAGCTCCATATTTTAACGCGATCAAAACAGAATATTTAATCATTTATGTTTGTTTTGGTTTGTTTTGTATTGTTTACGACATATCAACCTCAATGGGTTATTTAATGCTGACAAAATTTTCATTGCTGGTAATATTTTGTTTTATCAAAAATCTATTTCTGGTAATATTTTTACTTCGAAAATGTATTTCTGGTAATATTTTTTTCGCAAATGTATTGCTAGTAATATTTATTTTTTAAAAACATTGTTGGTGATATTTTTTTCTTCTCTTTTTTTTCAAAAATGTATTTCTGGTAATAATTTTTTAAAGTATTTCTGGTATTAAAACCTATTTTTACACTTACATAGTGTTTTGACCCCAATTTCGGGGTTAACTATTTGCCCATATCTGGGACCCTAATAGGTGCTACCACACGGCGTCAGGGCGAATCTGGGAACACCAGCAATTATAAAGTGGTTCCACGCTCCTCAAAACCTCCTGATCAGAGGCCTTAATGCTGGACATAGTTTATCGTCTTACACAGGACGCGGATGTAGTTTATCGTCATACCCAGGACGGTAATCATTTATGAGATATTAACAGGACGTAACGGTCGTGCGAACTGACTAAGGAATTAAATTACTAAAGGGCCAGACAGGCAGAATTATACTCGGCTTAAGAGCCAGTCATGGCATAGTATATGTATTACTTCAGGTCGGATTCTGCAGTGTTCTTCTCTGGTATGTTTCCTCTTTTCATAATGTTTGTTGGACAACTTTTCCCCATCAATGCGTGATTGTCTTACCAATTATACTGAAACCTCTTAAAATGTTATAACGTAAGCAAGTTTTCATCCACTTATATATTCATCCACTTAAACGTATTGAAAATGCAGTCATTCGTTAGATTTGCCTTGCCATTCGTATAATTTTTTCCGTTTTTTTTTTTTAATTGTTACAACTTAAATATTTGTGACCATGTTATGGTTCCGTCGTTTTTATTAAAGGCAAATATTTCGTCTTCTGGCTCAAGACAATGTCCTCTGTTTCAACTGTTTCCATCACAATCTATGAAATATCTTGAATCATTATCTGAATCATTGTCAAGATAAAAAGAAATATAGCGATCGACGAAAGTTTATGAATGACGTTTCTTTACATACACTGCCATTTTTAAATGATACAGTTCTGTTTACGAGGTGAGGTCTAAGTCATATTTTCAAACAGTAGGAATAAATATAGTGAAATGGTCTTAGCATGGTCCTACTAAGAATGTACAATAAAATTGCACGTTTACCAGTAGTGCATCGCCGTCCTGGGTATGACGATAAACTACATCCGCGTCCAGGGTAAGCCGATAAACTACGTCCAACAGCAAGGCCTTTCATCAGAAGTTTTTGAGGATCATCTATAATGTAAATAATGTCGATACATCTTTTGTCATTCCACCGGCCAATATATGTATATCGGTACACATAACACATTTCAGTTCCGATATAATTGGAGAGAGCTATGTAAGAACTATTTATTCTCCCTTTTAAATTTATTTATATAATAATATCGTACTTCATGAACGGAATGGTATGGCTGAAAGTAAAAGGGAAGACTCACTTGCTTTGTTCTCAGAGAGGCTTTTATATACTAAGACATACGCAAAACAATATATATATATATATATATATATATATATAATGTCATCCCTAGACAGACTGTTTCGCAGCTCTTCAGTGTGGCTAGATGTCCAGTTGCCTCTAGCTGAGATCAAAACCCGACTGAATTGGCGTCAGTCGGAGATTCTACCCACTAAGCCGTCGGCTCACGGCAGGGATGAAGGTGAATTTTTAGCGTATTTATTTTTAGATAAACACACAGTGACCGACAGGACTCAATTCGCTTTTACCGAAGAGTCTCGCTGTATCAGCCATAATAGTCACTGTTTACAAACCCACGCTTCCTCCCAAGAGAGCTCGACCGAAATTAATTTTTCAGGAGCCTATATATATATATATATATATATATATATATATATATATATATATATATATACGTGTTCAAGGCGGTAAGCAATATATCATATCGCAAAGCATAGTGTATGGCGGAACAAAAAGGAGGGGTATTATATATAATATGGAGATAAACCTGTGTCTAGAGAAGTCATATTTAGGTCTCCAGATTTAAACGGACCGGATTCATGTATGTCCCATACGCGGACACATTTCAGGAACGGGAAATAGCGAGTTTTGGTTTGTCCAAAATTGATATCGCCAAACAGGATTTTCTTCCTATATATAGGAAAGATATATACACAAAAGCAAAGGGCACCATGGACTTGTAAGCTCTTCTGAGAAGGCAGATTTAGCCTCTGCTCAGGCTTTCAATTAAACTGCTGTAAAGGAACGGAATTTGACTGCCGCTTTCGTTACTGTATGAAATGATGTCACTAAGCAGACGCCATGTGACCCACGTGACTTATCTTCACCAAAGTAATATAAGCGCCTTATTTATCCCTACACGATCATGCTCTGATCAGACAAAAAATCGAATATTGATGCCTCACTTTCCATCCTTCATCCTCAATTTCTAGCCTTGATAGACTTCTAAATCTTTTCCGACTTGCGTGTATTTAATTATTTGCCACCCGTCAGCCACTTTCCAACAGACAAAACGTCACTAGCCACTTGCTACTCTATCTCTATTTCCATGATATACGTGAAGACGAACTATATTCTTTCATTTCCCCAGTTCAGAACTTCACGTCTAATACTCACAAGATCATTTAACCAGGGTCGACTCATCCACGTTTCTTTCATATTCCATTGGTAAGGAGGAAGTTCCTGCCAAAGAGCTACTTCAGCAGAACTGTTAATTTTTGAAACAGTCTTTGAAGAAAATGCTTTCCTGATCACTCTTCAGGTCTGGGCTCAACCTCTGTACATCCTACATATCCTCAAATATGCACATCTTACTTCCTACCTTTACGCCTTCGGCCATATCGTGCTGAAAATAACAGCTCTCGTCCAATCACGGTAGTTAATCAGCGTCGAGTCTGGTCAAACGTTAGCTGGGGTTCAACATGAGAACGCCTGTTACTGTAAGCAACTTCTTACAATCCGAAGTTTGGTTCAGTCTTAAGTAACACAAAAATGGTTGATAAGCCCTAACGAACCAAGTTTATGACGAATTATCTATATGACGAGCTATCTATACGTAGTTATTTTTTAATTGTTTATTAATAATTATTTTTTCTCTCTGTCTCTCCCTCTCACTTTCTATCACTATCTCTCTCGCTCTCTCTCTCTCTCCCTCTCTCTCTCCCTCTCTCTCTCTCTCTCTCTCTCTATCTATCTATCTCTCACTATCTCTCTTTGTTTCATTCTTACCATGGAATGTAATCGAGTTCGATTAGTTGATGCTATTCTTACAGTCCCACTTCAAATATTGTTCATGTATTATTTGGAAAAGTGGAAAGTCAACTTTCTGTTATTTAATCTTCAACATCGGTAATATTCGCTGACAACAAATCGAATTTTCAAGTATTTTATCACTGACAAATTACTCCTTCGTATTTTTGTACATTTGTGAGAGAATACCCAGTTGAAAACCATTTTCCTGGAAATCTTTGCATGCACCAAATATAAAGCAAAAGGCAAGTCCAGTCTTTATCTGCGATGCTTCCTTTTCATTCGCCCTTTTGGTCCAACAATTTGCCAATTTCTTGTTACAAGAATCGCAGTAGAGAAGAACCGCAAATGTGATATCGCTTTTAGCATTAACTCTGGGTTTCTTTCTGCCTCCAACTGTTAGAAAGTAATTTCCTCCGTTTAATAGGAAATCTATTGACAACAGGTTTCCAGATTTAAAGGGTGTGTAGACGAAGGGTCACTAGCTTTTATTTCATTTCACGATTTGATGAGAGGCAAAGTAATAGAAAAGAAAAGGTTGCCATATTTATGCAGACGTTGAATGTTCCTTTCCATTGACTGACATCTATCAATACAAAAAGGAATGACACGATTCTTGTTATGGGCACAATACACCTGTCCCACCAAAAAGTAGAGCGGCGCTTGCGCGTATGCACACACACACACACACACACACACATATATATATATATATATATATATATATATATATATATATATATTTATTTTTTTTTAAATTTATGACATAAATATGTTATAAAATCACTAAAAAAAATAGCCATTTCGTTTCAAAACCCTAGGTGTCTTATCAAGTGATGATATCGAATGTAAAATAAATGGTTTTAAAAGTTTCAAATTAATTAACGATCCTTCGCAAGGGGAAAACGTTGTTACAAAAGCTAGAATGACCAATCAAAATACAAGTATGGGAAAATTCAAAAAGCCTGAAAAGGAAGTCATGTTATAATAGCTATTCAGATCTTTAAAATACGGGTAATATTAAAAAAAAAGAATTTATTCTAACCAATAATTATTAAATAATCTGATAAAATTTGATATTAAAATGAAAAACTGCCAATTTTAAAATCCAAATTTAATCACTATTAAGTTTAAAAATTATAAAATTACTGAGGAGAAAAGAAAAAATACATATGTTATTCAATTTATTTCTTCGTTCAAATTACGTTAGAACAGACGCTACGTCATCCGATCATCCGACAATATATGTATCTGCTCTACTTTGTATTGAGCACTCTTTACAGAATAGTAATTGTTGGTTATTGGAATTCATTCCATATACACCAATTATATACTTGTATATATATATATATATATATATATATATATATATATATATATATTTATTATTATTATAAATTACAATAAAAACATTTCACATTGCTATACAAAAACTTTCATGTTTCGGAATTATAAAAAGTTCCTCTTCAGGTGATGGTAGATAACATGACAAAAGTGTCCGTTTATCATGACATGAATTAGTAACCCATCTTCTTTCACCCTCTGATCTTATTTTTTTTTTTTCTATTTTAGCTTAGATCTGACTTTTAATTGGTGAATCAGACATACACACACACACACACACACACACACACACACACACACACACACATATATATATATATATATATATATATATATATATATATATATATATATATAATTCTGAACTTGGGCCTTATCATTTTTTAACTTTCAAAAGAAGCAAAAATTTGTTTTTAATTTTCAAATTATAATAATTATAGTATTTTGCTCTGCATTGTATACTGAGTACTTTTTAAAGGGTAAATTTTAAGAACTGTAGATTCATACTCTATCTGTTCTTTCTCTTATTTATACACACACACACACACACACACACACACACACACACATATATATATATATATATATATATATATATATATATATATATATATCCATACAGATAGGTAGCATATGTTCAGTCAGTGTTTGTTTGAAAAATCTATACTTATAGCTATTTTTATTTTGATGCTGTTGAATTCTCTTATTGAATTCTTAATGTTGATATTAAATTCATTAAGGAAGGCGCCGTAGTATTTTTGCTATTTTATTTTCATTCTTATTTTCTCGAGAAGTTTCAGTCTAATCCAAAATCATCTTCAGGGGTGAATTGTTAAGTCAAAAAAATTAGTGTAAGTTTTTTTTTTGTAAACCTGCATAAATGCGCCTTGCTATGATTGCTTTTTTAAAATTAATTGTTGTGTCTATATAGCGTCTTAATTTAAGTGGGGTAACTTTATTTGTATGAGTGTAATCTTTTGTACAAAAACATTGTTAACATATTTTAATATCATTGCTATTATAAACATTTTAAAACGTTGTTGCTATACTCATAACTCTACTTATTTAGTATTGTCTCTTTGTCCCTTATATAGAGGACCTCGAGAATTGAAGTTTTGTCTTTTTTTATTTTCATGGTGCAATATAATAGTTATCAATAAGTAATTTTCTATAGCGTAAAGGTGGATAGGAACGTGTCTTTAAATGTTGTACGATAGTGCTTATTTCCTACGTATAGAGTGTAAGCCGACAATATTGATATAGTGAAGTCTTTGGTTTGGTTTGTTTTTTTTTGTTTTTGTTTTTTTTGTTTTTTACGGCGTAGCAGACTCAATGGGTTATTTAATACCACGATTTTATAATTCATTTAGTTTTCAAAAATGTATTGCTGGTAATATTTTTTTCTTCAATAAATTCATTGCTAGTAAAAAATTTTACAAAAATGTATTTATTGTACTAAAACCTACTTTTACACTTTCGTAGTGTTTTGTCCCCGGTTTGGGGGTTAACTATTTGCCCATATTTTCGACCCTAACAGGTGTTACTACTCTAAGGGTGGTCCGGAGAACACCAGCAATTAAAAAGTGGCTTGAGAAGTCAAATTTATGGGAAAGATATGGGAATTTCGACAGATGTTACGCTTACAGTTCGCTCCATGAATGATGTTGCTTGTATGGAAACGGCTATTTTTACCATTGCTATTGTACACATCTCTTTAATATTATATGGTACTTTGAGTGAACTATATATATGGTAATGCATCTAAATCTACTTAGGACACTGTCACGTCACATCATGAGTTCCGTGACGGATGAAGATTACAGTGGCAACACATGTACTGCAGTCGCAGAATCAGTTGTCTGCCTTGGGAAAGATGTCTTGATCCAGCTTATCCATCTTCAGGCGAGTTTTGAATTCGGTGTTTTACTTCTCATAAGCAAGAGAGCCCAATCATCCTAGCTATTTAACCCATAACAGAGGGGAATAAGTATTAGGTTTATATCTTTTCATGATTATGCGAAATAGATTTGAAATTATCTAAGATTTCTCTTTCCGAGTTGCCAATCGATAAACGACAATAACAAAATTACGGCACATAATAGAACCATAAATTTTCAAAATGAGGGTTTCTTCCTTAATGTTTAAAATAGTAGCTTCCTGCCTTAATGGTCAAAACAGGGGCTTCCCGAATTAATGTTAAAATAGATTCCTCATGCCATCTCCTTCATGTTCTGTGTCTTCTCAGGGCGTAGGCGATCAATCTTGTCCCTTGTAGCTCTTAATAAATATTATCTTTCTGTTATTTCTCCCACGCCCTATTCTGGAATCTATTTACACAAGGTCATTAAGTACGTTATGCGTTGTCCTCTCCTTTGTCTTTCTATCTGTCAATTGTATCAGATTTTCTAAGCCCTCGTGTCCTCGTTATGCGCCCCTAAAACCTCAACTGTCTCTTCCTGGTGTTAAGTATTAGTTTCATTTTTGTTTCCATTTTCTCTAAACCTTAGTCATCCATAGTATACTCAGCATGCTTCTGTAGAACCATATTTCTGTAGCTTCAAATCCCTCCATCTTTGAAGAGATTGTCTATTACTCATTGCTATACAGAACAGATATCACGTAACAACTTCATACACTTTTCGTTGTTCCTGGCGATTTTTCTACTTATTTGTACACTGCTTTAACGTTGCAAATAGGGTCTTCCTGCCTTAATAAATATGTATGTGCTTGTCATGCATTTGACAGCGATTCATTATAAATGACACTAACTTTAAAAGACCGAAAAGAGAGCCATGTAGTTTTGTGGAGATCTTTTTAAGTGAAACAGTTCAGTTTTGACTATTGTTGTTGAAGGTTGGCTTTCCGCTCGAGAAAAAGCCGAAAATTTAAATACGATCGAACACTCAATTTGTTGAAACACCGACTTTTTATTGACATTTTTACATCTGTGTATTCTTCTAATGTATTAAATTTAAATTATATAATTTTAAAAATGCTGCATTTCTGTACTTCAAATTCGCCTTTGAATTTTAAACATTTTCATCGAATAGAATACAGCTTGTAATGGAAGATATTATTCTTGAAAATAAAATATTCTCATATATATATATATATATATATATATATATATATATATATATATATAGTACAGTTAATCGATCCGTTGGTATAAAATCCGTGTGGATCGTACTAATATTAATTAGTAAAAGAGATCCACAAAGAGCGTGATGTTTTTATTTTAACAGAGCATATGTATTTTACAGCAAAAAAAAAGCAAAAGTTACCTCAACACAGAGGATAGTCTATTTCAAGCCGTTCTGTGCACGGCCATCAGAGAAGGGCTTCAAATAGACTGTTTCAGACTGTTGAGTTAATTGATGATGTTTTTTTTGTTATATATATATATATATATATATATATATATATATATATATATATTTAAATAGGTTTGAAACGGTACAAAAAAGCGTATTAAAATTAAAACTAGAAATGTAGTATTGTAGGCCAAGATAAGTTTAAAAATAAAACACACACCAGTCGACCGGTTTCGTCCCCTTCTAGCAGAACTGTTAACATAATTTAGATTATATAAATAAAAAAGTTTTTTATTATTTTTTTTGAATGGACATTTAAAAAAATATATATAATAAATAAAAAAAAAATAATTATTCAAAAAAAATATATATATATTAAAATTATACCATAATCTTGTTTGCTTGGACTTGTTGTTCTGAGGGGACGAAACTAGCAGGTGTGTGTTTTTATTTTAAATTTATCATGGCCTTTACTACATTTCTAGTTTTTAATGCCTTAATATACATATATATATATATATATATATATATATATATATATATATATATATATATATATATATATATATATATATATATATATAATAAATATTAATTAATTAACTCAACTGTCTTAAATAATCTAGTTATGTGACTATTTCAGACTGTTGAGTTAATTGTTTTTTGTTGTAATATATATGTATGTGTATGTGTGTGTTTGTAAGCGAAGATTTCCTGAAAAAATATAAATTAGCGGGTTTTACACGTTCTTTAAAGAAAACAATTTTCCGAAATGTTTGCTAAATAAAACAAACTACAATATGGAGAAGAGCCATTTTCTGATTTCTCCTTCAAATCTATTTATTCAAACAGTTTAGCGCAAGTGTCACGTTTCTAGCGGTTTTTTTTTCAAATATTGACTATGATAAATGACATATAGAGATGCTTCTAAAGGAAATTATTCTGGCCTTTAAATGTTTTGAGTAATTCTAACATATATAAAGGGAACAAATGAAATGTTATTTTATAAACAAGTCATACACGTAGACGAAAATACTTTATATAAGGATATGTAGATAGTCAGGTAGATAGATTCATCGAAGAAAAAGTCATCCAATGATGCACATATACAATATTATGAACATCTCACCACATATTCCAACCTACGCATGATCTTTTAGCACGTTGTAGGATATGTAATAAAAAAAAAGGATGATGCAAATAAAATAAAAAAGAAATAGAATATAAATGAAATTGGCAAGATTATATACCCAAAACACATATAATTTTTTTTTAATTTAAAATTCCCAGTGTCTCTCATTCATGTATAAGTGTAATCGCAAAACGTAAATAAACCTCAACCGAGGAAGTCCTAAACGACGAAACGTCTCACACGAAAAGTTTTTTTCACTACTATTATATATATATATATATATATATATATATATATATATATATATATATATATATATATTTCCCAGATAGATAGATAGATAGATAGATATGAACAGTTTGCTATAGATAGATATGAACAGTTTGCTATAGATAGATATGAACAGATTGCTATAGATAGATATGAACAAATTGATATACATAGATATGAACAGAGATAGATAGATAGATAGATAGATAGATAGATAGATAAATAGATAGATAGATAGATAGATAGATATGAACAGTTTGCTATAGATAGATATGAACAGATTGCTATAGATAGATATGAACAAATTGATATACAGAGATATGAACAGAGATAGATAGATAGATAGATAGATAGATAGATAGATAGATAGATATGAACAGATTGCTATAGATAGATATGAACAAATAGATATAGATAGATAGATAGATAGATATGAACAGATTGCTATAGATAGATATGAACAAATAGAGATAGATAGATAGATAGATAGATAGATAGATAGATAGATAGATAGATATGAACAGATTGCTATAGATAGATATGAACAGATTGCTATAGATATATATGAACAAATTGATATATATATATATATATATATATAGATAGATAGATAGATAGATATGAACAGATTACTATAGATAGATATGAACAGATTGCTATAGATATTTATGAACAAATTGATATATATATATATATATATAGATAGATAGATAGATAGATAGATAGATATGAACAGATTGCTATAGATAGATATGAACAGATTGCTATAGATAGATATGAACAAATTGATATAGATAGATAGATAGATAGATAGATAGATAGATAGATAGATAGATAGATAGATAGATATGAACAGATTGCTATAGATAGATATGAACAGATTGCTATAGATAGATATGAACAAATTGATATGCATAGATATGAACAGAGATAGATAGATAGATAAATAGATAGATAGACTGTCAGCATTTCTCAGTATGTGTGATTGGACGTAACAATGCATCATGAAATTTAGCCAGAAGTTTAGCTCCAAGTTCATATAAGAGTAATTTATGAATTGTTTTATATTTAAAAATTTATTCATTTAAAAAAAAGCTACAGATACACTTTGAAGTCTCTTTCATTTGATATTTTAAACTGGATGCTAAATTCCTTAATCTTTTAGGAGGACTCGATAATACTTCAGCTTTTGCCATCCTCAATGGATTTAAATCAGTTATTACCATTATCTCTAAAAAAAATTGCGGATTTTTCATAAATCCTTTTAAATGATAATTATACCACTAACCATATTTAGGGCATGCTAAATTAAAAAGTATAACCATTAAATTTAAGTTTCTTCTTCAGCCTATTATGGTGAATGAGAGATCGAGCCTTCACAAACATTCATGACTAATTTTTCCGTATCAAAATTTAAAGTGCGCCCCAGAGATTTAGTTCCTCTACAAATGCACTCTGAAGTAAAAATCTTTGGGAAACACACAGATAGATAGATAGATAGATAGATAGATAGATAGATAGATAGATAGATATGAAGAGATTGAAAGCGATACGTAGACAGATCGTATCACATCATTTGACTGTATCTCCCGAAGGATGATGGTGGTATATTTCAAGGAAATACATGTGCGATGATGTTTTCTGTTTTGTTTTTAAGGTAGCTATTTCTTCGCTCTGTTTTAATCTCTCGGCATCTTCTCCATGATTCAACGTCAAAATGGACTCCAGGAAGAACGTTGTGATTCAATGGCATTACCAAATGAAGCTTTACTGCAACTGTGTACGCTTAAACGCTTGTAATTCAGACTTCTCCTCGCAAATTGGCTGTCAACCAAGCCCAGAGGGCCAATTCTGTGCGTAATTTAAACTATAGCGTAAGTCGATAAGAAAATGATGCAAAACTTTCCCAATTAAAGGAAACAGCATCGTTCATCTTACGCTTTTGAAAACCGTCCAGATAAAATTGTAAAATACGAAGCTAAATGACAATATTGATTACTTACGATATAATTAACTGATCTGATATCCTCAGATTTTACTAAATGAAATGTAACTGGGAAAAATTTACTTCAATTGCAGCTTGCATTGAAAACCAACGCTATACAAACATAGTCTTTTACTTACATTCGAACATAGACAAATTCTACCAACGAGAAATGTACAACTATCTTAGCCACGAGTCTGAGTTTTTTTTTTTTTTTTTTACTTCCATAGTGCAATGTAAGTGAGCTACGTTTGTTAGCAGGAACGGGGTAATTAAGACGTTTAGGACGCTAGAAATAATTTTCTATCTCTCATTTCTGTAAGTAGAGAACATTATCATCTCTGTTCGTCTTTTATTTTTCATTCAGTAAAAGAGCAGAATTTCTCCTTTTATCAACTATGGTAATTTTTTTAGCCAAATCTAACTGATAAATACAAAAGGTAGATTTCTATAAAGTTTGTCTTATTAGATAACCGATAGTGGAGTAACTGAATATTTCTCTTTGATAGCGACGTGTACAATACACTTGAAATCATGCATACATCTTCCCAGATATTCTCAATATTATCTCAATATTTGCCTCTTTTTGCGGAGTTTGATGGCAGATGAGCGGTAAAGAAACAGTCAGTCTCTCACTTCAACACACCAAAATATGAATTCTAAATTACCTCGACTTCGTCTTGGAAACATCATTCTTGATCAAATGCGGTTGATTGGCAAAGTTTTTGGTGTAATTAAAAACAACCACTTTTCTTTTTATAAAAATAGGTTAGATTTTGAGAAAGGACTGGGATGGAAATCTATTAAATAATATTAATAGTAAATTCTTTAAGTGTTACTTTGCAAAAATATCTAGTTTATTATAAAACATTTAGTACTCAAACCTTTGCTGGTTTAATGGTATTTAAAAAGAGTCTAAGAGTTAACTGCATTCAAAAATGTATACACAGCATTGCTCAAATATGCATGTAGGTAGGTTTTTCTACATGGCATAAGAAGACATTTTAGTTTTCGGCCTTGAGGGGTTTTCGTATGGGGTAGTAGTTATCCTAGTAGTCTGGAGATGTTGGTTATGTTTACACATTGTTAATATATATATATATATATATATATATATATATATATATATATATATACTAGTAGTTGGGTTTACTGCTAGTACCTGATTGAGAAGGCTGGCAATAATGTTCATACCCATGCAAAAGGAAATGAAAACATATTTATGGAGAGAAACAAATAAATTAGGGTTAATGGTTTCCCTAAAAATGTTTATCAAACCTTGGTTCTTGATATTAACACCCGTGCCAGCCATCTCAATTTAAAAACTCAAAACTCACTTCTGGCTAGATACCGAATCGAGTCGAGTCGATAGTAGTTCACTCCAAACGAGACTGACAGTCATACTAACACCTTCCACATCTTGTATTATTATTTCGTGTAATATACCTTCGTTATTTCTACTCTTGTGTTCGTGTTGTTCTTCCTTGGTCCTAACCTGGACCATAACAGGTCTGTTCAGCATAGTTTCAGCATAAAGCATAGGTGGGCTCTGTGGGTGTGGAATAAACACAAATGCGCCTGAGAAACGTCTGCAATAGGGATTGGTTATCCGCCTCGTAGACGGATATCATCGAATACGAATGGCCAGCTATGCATCTCAATACTTTTAAATGCGATAAGATACAGCTTATAAGTGGATTCAGACCTTACACGAGATCATTTTTACGAATCAACTTAGACGGTCTCAATCAAACTTTTAACGCTATTTAAAAACTAGCTTTCTATACAAATACATGTTATGCTACACCGCCCTTTTACTGGCTGAGTTGCTGTTTTGTTTTGTTTCGTTAATTTTTCGCTTTTCTATTTTTTTATTTTCATAAAAATTGATTTGTTTTATTTTTCTTATTTCTGTTTTTTTTTTTTTTAACATTTTGTTGTTGTTTGACTTTGTTTTCTTATTCTTTTTTTCCTTATTATTTGACGGAAATCAAAAATTCTCCGTGATCAATATACTGTGTTATAAAGGTTATATTACATTTATAATTTTCTTTAAAAATGTTATAACACATAGATAGATAGATTGTCAGTGTTTCTCGGTAGGTTTTGCCGGGAGTACTAAGGCTTCCTGAAATTTAGACAGGTGCGCTCCAAGTTCACAGAAGTAATTTATGAATTGTTTTTTATTTTAAAAAATCTTCATTTTTATAAAGCTACAGATACACTTTGAAGTCTCTTTCATTTGATATTTTAAACTGGATGCTAAATTCCTTAATCTTCAAGATGAACTTGATAATTCTTCCGCATTTGCCATCATCAAGGGATTTAAATCAGTCATCATCGTTTTCTCTAATGAAAATAGCTGATTCTCCATAAATCCTTTTGAACGATAACTGTACCTTTAATTTACTTTGGGGAATGCTAAACTGGCTGAGTTCCTTTTTTGTTTGGTTTTGTTTTTGTTTTTTGTTTTTCGATTTTTTATTTTTTTATTTTCATGAGAATTGATTTATTTTATTTTTCTTGTTTCTGTCTTTTACAACATTTTTTTGTTGTTTTATTATATTTGACTTAATTTTTTTTATTCTTTGTATTATTATTGTTTGACGGAAATCTAAAATATACGGAGTTTTAAACGTTATATCACATTTATAAAAAAAAAGAAAGAAAAAAAACAGATTGAATGAGTTTCAATTAATTTCATTGCCGCAATCATATAATTTGCTTACGTGTCGTTCCAGAGTAAAGTAGAGACTAACCTTTCAAAACCTTCTTACTTTACCTGGTTAAGAAAAGCCAATTAACTCATTAATTGATGCGTAACTTAAGAACATGTGTAATCAATTTAATAGTGTGAAATCCAGTTCATTGCCTGCTATGCCTCTTTTTAAGTATAATCCAAAGTGTCGTTTACTTGGTACATTGCACACAGTCACATTCCATGCACTTGTATTAATATGGCATTTAAGAAATTACTTAACTTACGGGAGATGTTATATTCAAATATAGACATGTCGTAATTTGCCTTGATTTTTTTAGATGATTAATATCAATGTAAACTTTGTTCTTCCATATACATATTATTGCTTTTTATACTAGCAGTCTTTCGCTCGTGAAACCATTAAGGGAATCATTTTAATTTCTTAGATGCTGTGAGTTCAGTCTATGAAAAGTCATATACAGTGGTTCAATGTAAGCAACGGTACAAATCTGAATAATAATAACGCTACCGATGGTAGCCGTTTCCTTATAAGGAAACATTGGGCATTTATTGACCGAACAGTCGGTACTCCTGCTAGTTGAATTTATGAAAAGCTTTCTTAAAAACGATTCTTCGGGAAAATAGGTTTCTCGTGTCTAGCAGCTGTTTCCTTTATTGAATAGGGTGGGGGATTCCTTCTGAATGTTTTGTTCGATGTAAGGTGGAAAGTCAACAACTTGATTGCGTCAATATAATTAATCTTCGAGTTACGTGCTATCCATTTTAGTTTCTTTTGAAAGACCTCGGTTTGTGTGATTTTTTCTTTTAATTGGTACAGTTCTTTCATTATGATTCTGAGTCCACATGGCTCGGAAAGACATGGCCCTCACTGGTGAGCATTAGCTGATATGAAATATCTAAACAGAATTCAGAAGGGGGACAAAATGCATAAACGTTTGAGTTCAATATTCGGAGAAGATTACTGAGTATACCTACAGACTCTTGGATAAGGGCGGAGAATACAACGCCCGAAACCTTGTAGATATATCAAATAAGATGAACACAATGTGACGCATATAATATTTTCTTTAAATATAGACAGATACTAATATTTTCTTTATTTGAGTTCAGATTTTTAAAAATATCCCATTCGATATGCCATTGCATTTATTTCTGCTTTTAATTGATTTTTTTTGTTAAAATAATGTTTTTTTTTAACAATATTTTTAAATATTATTTTATAGGGGTTTTGCCAAGACAGTTTCAATATAAAATAAAATTTCTTTTTAGAAAACAGGAATTTAACTTTTCACTTTAAGTGATTTATTTTATGGTCAGACAGAGGAGAGAAATATCTCATTTGCAGAGTAGAAAGATAAAATATTTAAATAAAAAACACACTTTATTCCTCTGCGACCAAAGAAGTGGCTTTTGTTATTGATTTGATTAGTTCCGACTTCTATTCCCAGTTGGAGAATATTATTTCTTCGTTCATTTGAATGATCAATAAAAGACTTTTGTTCTGCTGGAAACATCGCACCGAACATCCGTTCCTGCAAGCCGTTCCAAAGAATAATCAGATTTTATTCGCATTAATTTAAATACGTAAATAACTAGTATGTCATTCAACAATAAAACGAACTGCTTCTGTATTAGATATTGATTCTTATTTCTTTATGAAATGTTGTTGATGCAAAATGCCTGAGCGACATCATCTTCCATAATGTTAGAAAAGATTAACTCAGCCATTACGCATGAACTCAATCAGCTGTAGGAAAAATTCAAAAGCCTGGAAAATTTTGTTCGAACATACAGAAATGCAAATTTTTGACTTTCTTTACTGTCGATAAAAGAAGGATTTATTTCTTGTATCGAAATCGAAAATTATCATGGCCAAATTCAGAGAAACAAGTACAAAATGCAAAATTAATTGAACACTAGACTTTTATTAGAACAATACAAAAACTGTATAGATAGATAGATAGATAGATAGATAGATTGTCAGTCTGTATACTTCTTTTTTATCATTTCACCCCAAGCAAAGCAATAAAGCCTCTAAGACGCAAGATGCTACGATGTATTAAAGAATATATATAAAAACACTCTTAAGAAGAGAGAACAAAAAAGAACGAGAATTAAGACAGAAGATAACGATTGACAATGCATTTGGATTTTTTGAGATCAAAGTTGATAAGAAAAAAAGATAAACCGAAAGATAGAAATGCGAGAAAATTAACTTTTACCATAGAATTTATGGTTACAATTAAAAGGTTACCAATTTAGAGAGACCTTCCCGCCAATATAGTACTGCGTTCAAATTCATAAATTCTAAGCCCGGTTAGAAAATAAAACGTAATAATAGGGCTTACGACAAAGGTGTGTCCCCATCCGATTATTCCACCTTTCCAGTGAGGCGATTATGAGAGAATTAGAAGTCCTACCATGATTCATTCTTGGCAGCCACAATTTAAATAATATAAGATATGCAGGATGGCACAGTGTTGATAGCAGACACAGAGAGGAAATTACAGGATCTCCTATAGAATGGATTTAAGGAAAATGATATGAAAGTATTGAATAGAAATTATAAGAGAGAATGTGTGCTTTTCAGTAAAACAAATAGCGAAAGATGCAAACTACGAATTGGAGACGCAAAAATCAAGCAAATGTAAAAAAAATAAATAACTAGGAATTTTTTTAAAAAGAGGACAGAAAATGCGACACCGAATTCGCATTAGAATAAAGAAAGATGCTTTCCAAAAGCTAATCAAATTATTAAGAAACTGGAAAATTTCGTTAGAAACCAAGAAAAGAGTACTGCACTGCTATCTCTATCTATAAAAGGCAGGATGTGTGTGTGTAACGAATGCACGGCCGCAATTTTCGACGGATTTACACCAAAATTTACATGCACATACTCCAAGTTAACTCCGACTCTGCATTTCCCAACTCTCATCGATAGTGGAAATAATCGATTTTTTCATGTTTCTAAGGCAGTTTTCATGAAGTTTACGGCTATTTTGTACTGGCCAGAGTTGTTAACATTCTTTTTTCATTCGGTTTTTCCAGTTACGAGTCCGTTTTTAAAGCTGATCGTTTTGTGTTCATTTTGTTTAGTTCTTTTTTCGTAACAGATTTAATGTTTAGTATAGAGCTTAGAAAAAATTCGCAGTGTGAGATAGGCAAGAAATAAGGCATGTAGCAACATCAGCACGGCAAAGGGAACTCTTTTAAAGTCAAGGGAGGGCAAAAATATCAAAGTCAAGTGATAGCGATTGCTGTATGAGTCGTACGATTTTTGAATCAAGCACGGGCAACACCGGGCCATGCTGCTAGTATTATATATCGAGCCACCGAGATGTCAGTAAATGCTAAGTAACTCCCGAAAGATGAAGAAAACGTTTGGGACAACAAAAATGTAATTCTGCAGAAGGATTCTGAGAATACCATGGAATTAACATGCGAGTAACAAGGAATTTCTAGAGAAAACGGTAAGCAACATGATAGATATACTTAAAATCAGGAAAAGGGAGTTGAAATTTCTAAAGCACATAAGATGGAAAGAAGGGTTAAAAAGTTCAATATTGACAGAATATGCTGAAAGCAAAATGGACACGGGAAAGAAGTGTATAAACTACCTAAGGAGCTTATATAAATGGTTGTTGTAAATAATATATATCATTGTTGTTATAAATTCTTGTACTTCTTAGCAATGCTTGTGTTTTTACTATCTCACCTAATCCCTGTTCTGAGAAAAATAAAAAATAAAAAAAAACAGAAGCATTGCTAAAAGATACAAAGAATAGGAAGTTGTGGAGAACCATGATCGCCCAAATCCTGAAGAAATACGGCACAAAGATGAAGCAGAGATGAAACAGAAAAAGAAACAGAAAATAAAGCAGAAATACTAGTTTTATATGTCAAACGTTTTGGCCGCTATTCTCCGAAATTCTTTAGGTTCCGGCTTTATTCATTCTATTTCGATCGGATCTCAGATATTCAGAAAGAGAGAAAACGGGATCTATAAAGAGAAAGACAAAAAGACTTACCTATTACCTCTTTTACCGTCTAAATTCCCTTGTCTGGATAATTTTTATTCTGTTTCACGTTTTATTTGTTATCATTTCACTCCATACTAAGCAATAAAGCCACTATGATCCAAAGGGTTACTGAGTGTGAGATAATATGTGAAACCAAACACATCAATCATCGACAACAATAAAATAACAAGAATTAAGAAGACAGAAGATACCGATTGACATTGCATTTACATGTTTAGACACCAAACTTAACTGAAAAACAAAAATCTGAAAGAGAAGACCATTTTGCTTCAATCTAATATCAAAATAGTGTGTGTGTTATCATTTCTTTGATAGTTGGACGAGCCCTTTCTCGTGGAAAAACATGAAGGAAATCTCACTGTAAATTCCTTGCGAAACGAGTTAGGTATGGGAATATGGCAGATGCTACTTCAGTTCGATAATATCGAATTCTAAGTGAACATTATACGTCATTCACAGAATGGTCACCCGAATATTTCAATAATTCGCAGTAATTATCAGCTGAAGAAGAGACTTAAATCAACAGTGCTACAAAAATTCTATGAAGAGCATAGACTTTACATGTTTACATTTTTTAAGGAAAATAGGTACAAAAAATAAGACTCATACTGAGAATAAAAGATAATTGATGATTTTAGGAGACATAATGAGGAAAAAGGGGACCGAGGAAAATTTAACACTCACAGGACATATTGATGGTAACAGGGTAAAAAGAAAGAGCGAGTAACGTAACAAACTGGCATAAATGGATGGCAGATCAGGAAATGAGAGATGACGAAAAGACAGAACTAAGAGCTACAAAGAATAGGAAGTTGTGGAAAGACTGTCCGCTCACTTTTTTGAAGGAACACGACACACAGAAAGAAGTAGTTGATGCTGAATGATTCTATATAAAGAAATGGCTAATATTACCATTCAGTAAAAAATCTGGATCATTTTCAAAGAAGCTGATACCTAGACATCTACTGAAGCATAATATTTATTGTTCACTATAATGTTATTGAATACTTAATAATTAATGGCAACCACTCGAAACAGTGTTACAGACACGGGAAACATGAAGATTTATAGCAAAAAAGATTGCTATTTGTAAACAGAATGTCATTGGTCATAGAAATAAACGAACAAGAACATATATTCATGAAGCTTGAAATTTCCATTCCACCCATAGAAGCCTTTTTCTTTCATATTTAATGCCAAGATATTGAGAAAAAACATTATCAATTCCAGTTCAATTCTCTTTCTACAAAAAGATTTTGAGAATACCATGGACTGAATATTTTAGTAACGAGGAAATATTAAGAAAAATAGAAAAAAAAATTGTTACTTAAAATTAGAAAAGGTTAGTTGAAATGTTTAGGACGCATAATGAAGAAAGCGGACTTTGTATATTACATAGCAGTTGTTCATTTTTTTTTTTATCTAACGATAAATGAATTCGATAAAGAAAAATACAAACAGCAAGCAGAATTTTCGGATTATCAATTCTATCGATCGCAAATTCTTAGAAAGATCAAGGTAAATACAGAACAACTGTTGTTATCTCAAATAGCACGTTTCATTTGCATTAAGCTACAATATGAATAAAAATGTAGTAATAATAATAATAATAATAATAATAGAGAGAAAAAATTACGATAAAAATAACTCGAATAAATAAGACTGGAGAAATTATAGGGCGAAACGTACTCAAAGAAGTCAAAGATACAAAGATTTATCTTTGCAATTGAGCGATAACTTTCCATTTCGTTATTTCAAATAATTCCAAATATTTAAAGTAACATATACATTATCTGTCTATATTTCTGAGATGAGGTATTATGTACACTATTTATATTATTCGGACTATTGTCCTCATCTTTGTCGCCATATTTATTACAATGTGTCGGACGTTGTACGCTCCGGCTTTCTTCAGGTGGTTGGAATGTCGAACTGAACTCTTTATTTCGCTCACTGGGGTAGACTGTTCTAGTTCCCCGTGCCATGTTTAATGGATGTCAGTTATCAGTTATCTCCTGTTAAATCACCTCTGCATTGAGTGAAAATAACGGGTTCAATTCGACATTACATCCACCTGAAGAAAGCCGGAGCGTACAACGGCCGAAACGTTGTAATAGATATAGCGACAAGTGTAAATAGTGTAACGCATACACCCTTGTGCAAATTAATTGAAACAAAGCGAATAAATCCCATTATTATTTACTTTATTAACAGTTTTCCAATGAAAAATGACTCAGTGCACATGTTAGTACTTCATATGTCCATTCCATGAAGTCATTCCTTGAAGATTAACCACAGATTCTCGATTGGATTTAAATCAGGAGAGTTTTCGGGCCAGTCTATAGTACTTTGATTTGCTCACTGGTAAGGCTTGCCAGTGTATTCGTGCAGTGTTACAATTTTCGTATGTTTCTTTGGAGTAACGTACATCGCAGATAATGGTCGTAGAACAACTAACCGACAGTCGAGACAATAGTGTCTAAGCGTGATAAAAATTTGATGCATTCACAGATGACGCAATATTTTTCAAGGCCAATCATATTTAATCATCCACCCCGAAAAATAGATTCGTATTTCTACACACCACAGCAAATGAACTTATCTGAGGAAAAAATAGAAATCGATTACACCCTGTCAATCCAGTGGGTCTAAAACTGGCCGTATATTGAAAGAAAGGAAACTAAAGCGGTTTTCAGTTTGCACAAGTGTGTAAGGTTTATTCTATTGCTATTTCAATGTTCAGTTAAGCTACATTCCTTCGTTCTACCAGTTCACATATTTAAAAGTAGAATATGAAATGTCACTTCTACAGAGTCGAAACACTTTGTATATACCATATATAAGACGTTTTCATACGGACATCTTTTTGTACACAAGAAGAGTCACTTCTCTGAACACAACCACCTGAACATCTGTCTTGTGGCAATCATTATCCTCGCGATCTTCATTGACAACAGTTCCTCTTCCATTCATATCACACACCTCCATCATTAGCATATTTAATAGAAACTCTCTACCTTGAATTTCTCTCGAGTCTTGAATTTGGTGAAATCAAGTGGCAATCTTTACCTTTCCATATCCTCATGATCTTGCCACCAACTCCTCTTACTTTAATTTCACATACCTCCTGCATTATTGCCTTATTTAATAGTAACTTAAATTTCTCTTGAGCCTTGTATTAAGTGAAATCTAATATTAAATAAACTTACAGGTCTTCCTTGATTTAAGCCATTGTGTAAGAATATTAAAAAAAATACTCTAAGCTGAAATATCTTTCATTTTGTTAACCTGAAAAGTGCCCTTATTCTAATTTTCCTTCAATAATTGAATTATGAACAGATAAGAGGGTTTTTCTATTAATTCGTTCTGGTGTTTTAGATTATGCATGAAGCTCCTGAGGATACATACACATTGTGATTTTCGAAGTAATTTTTGGAAATTATTCCCTTCTTACCCGAGGAAGAGAAATGATGCAAACATGACGACCTGTAAATTGAAAATAATATGAAACAAATAACAACTGCAATTCTAAACAACAGAAGGGCAATGTCAAGCTATGGAATGGTTCCATTTGGAGAGGAAAATTCGATTTATTCTATCTTTAAACATCTTTTGAGGTGGGTTTGTCACGTCTTTGTATGTTTAAGAATAATGCGTTGGACGAATCTCCCCCACTCACTCTCTTTATCAGTATTTATGCAATATATATATATATATATATATATATATATATATATATATATATATATATATATATATCTTCTATATATATATTATATATATATATATATATATATATATAATTTCTATATATGCAATTTCTATATATATTATTTATATATTATATATGCGTGGTACTTATTGGAAAGCGCTCAGTATCAGTGATAGACCTATCATACTTAGTTGTATTGATATGAGGTTGTGACCGGGGTTCCACGCCCTTGAGGACGTCAGAAAGTCTGACGATCACAAGGGCGTGAAACCCAGGGTCAAAATCGCATCAATACAACTAAGCACACACACACACACACACACACACATATATATATATATATATATATATATATATATATATATATATATATATATATATATATATATATTGTGGTAAATATACACATACATATGCAATATATATATATATATACATACATATATATTTGTATAAAAAAAAATAATTCAAGAGCATAGAATCCAGGTAGAACTCATTGTCCAGGACAGAATAAGGATATAATAAAAAGGCTTAAACACCAATATCCCATGGTCATAATTTATTCCATTGGAATCGTAAATACGATCCAATTCATCAGACCTACAAATTCAAAAAGAAAACAGAAAAAACAACTCCGGGATAAAAAAATAAAATTTAGAGAGAGTGTAAGTATGAGAGTGTAGGACGAATGTTGGAGCTATAGAGAGGGGTAACAGACGAGAGAAGAGCAGGAAGGTCTAAAGATGAAGGTGGGGGAATTAAAATTTAACAGAGAGAAGTTTTAAAGAGGGGAGTCAAAGACGGTTTAATTGAGAGAAATATGAATGTCGTCGGATGTCTAATACATTAAAGATGTAACCGGAAAGGATACATTTTGTGGTGACATACACAGACAATAGACGATCTAATCTTAAAGATCAGAAGAAGAGGGAGAGGAAAAGAAAAGAAAAGAAAAAGGGGTGAAAGAGAGAGATGGGGAGGGGGAACTAAAACCGAAGAGCATTTATAAACACTCTCATACTTACACTCTCACTAAATTTTATTTTTTATTCCCGAAGTTGTTTTTTTCTGTTTTCTTTTTGAATTTGTAGGTCTGATGAATTGGATCGTATTTGCGATTCCAATCGAATAAATTATAACCATGGAATATTAGTGATTAAGCTTTTTCATTTATATATATATATATATATATATATATATATATATATATATATATATATAAACAGACAGACTGATTGATAGATAGACAGAGTGTGAACATACCTAACAACACGGCATAGTGACTCTCAGTTTCACGCTATAAGAAATCATTTACAATTTAATGCAGTGTTGATCTCTATTTTTATTTTTATTATTATTATATTGAAAGGCTTTAAGCTTTCTATCTGAAATGCTGATAATTCGAACCCTATAAATATACCAATTGTTAACATTTATATGTGTGGGTAGTCACTGGCTCCGATCGAAAAATCGGCGTGCCTAATTCGAATGCCAATCGTTTGTTTTGTTCGCTTTCGCGGAAATACACTTTGAAAATGGATGAATCCATCTCTGCTCCTCGCAGTTATGGGTTAAATATTAAGCTCTTCAGGTTTGGTTGGTAATTGTTATAGTAAAAAGTTTGGTTTGGTTTGTTTTACGGCATATTAACCTCAATGGGTTACTTAATCCCTACAATTATTTTTTTATTGCTGGTAATAATTTGTTTTGTCAAAAGTCTATTTCTGGTAATATTTTTCCTTCAAAAATGTATTATTTCTGGTAATAATTTGTATCTTTAAATGTATTCCTAGTAACATTCATTTTTAAAAACATTGTTGGTAATATTTTTTCAGAATAGTATTCCTGGTAATAATTTTTAAAAATATTTCTGGTATCAAAACCAATTTTTACACTTTCATGGTGTTTTGACCTCAATTTTGGGGTTAACTATTTGACCATAGCTGGGATCCTAACAGGTGCTACCACACGGCCTCAGGGCGAACCTGGGAACTCTAGCAATTAAGAGGTGGTTCCATGCTCCCCAAAACCTGATTAGAGGCCTTGCTGCTGGACGTAGTTTATCGTCTTACCCAGGACGTGGATGTAGTTTATCGTCATATCCAGGAGGGTATAGTAAAAGGATAGCTAAAAATATCCTTGGTCTATTCTACAGTTTAAATATATTACGCGTTCTATCATCCATCAGAATCTGGATAAGCTTGTTTGTGTGTCTCATTAAGCTGATTGTGCGATAAATCTCTCGTATTCATTTGTATCTGGCTTCGCAGTGAGACGAAGAAGGATCTACTGTCACCACTGCCGTATATTTCATATATTATTTCCGAAAGCTTTTCAATCCCAAAATCGTCTATGGCTAATTATTCCTGCTTTTTGTTTCCATTCATCTTCGACGGTGCCGATCTTAACTCAGTTTTTAATTTTTTCGAGATATAGATCTATAAAAATAGATTAAAATTCCACCTATTTTGCGAGGCCATCTAAAGGGAGCTATAAGCCCAACCAGGATTTTTTACTGATGGGGAAAATCTTAGCGGGATTATGCATGAACCTCCTGAGGATACATACATATTGTGATTATCGAAGATTCTGTGAAGTAATTTTTGGAAAATTTTCTTACCCGAGTAATAGAAATGATGCAAACATGATGACGGGTAAATTCAAAATTATATGATAAAAATAACATCTGCAATTCTAAACAACCGAGTGGCAATTTCAAGTTTTGAAATGTTGCAATTTGGAGAGGAAAAAATGATTCCGTGATTATAGAAGCGACAGATGCGAAACTGCAGGAAATCTTAGATGATACATTAAAAGAAGACGAGAAGAAAAGACAAACAATCAATTTTAAGGAACCATAATTCATACTCTTTAGCAAAATAGACATTCCAAGATGCAAAATACAGAATGAAGACCTCAGAATCAAGCGTTTCCATAAATTTCACGATCTGGAAAGTCTTTTAAGGAAAGACGGAAAATGTGTCGTAGAGATGCATTGCAATATTAAAATATATCTTCCAAAAGCTAAGCAAAGTATTAAGAAAGAGGAAAATCTTTATTGGAAATAAAAACAGAGTCATGAACTGTTATGTAATATCAGTTCTGCTCAGATAGAGGCTTAAAGCAACAGAGATTTTGTTCTACAGAAGGATATTGAGAATATCATGAATGGAACATTTTAGCAACGAAGAGGTTTTAAAGAAAATGGGAAGAAAAATGACACCTGAAATGAGGATGCGGAAGGGAAATTTGAAATATCTTGGATATATAATGAGGAAAGAAGGCTTGAAGAATCTAATACTCATAATTAAAAACAAGGGGACAAGATGGAAACCGAGTATCATATATAACGATTTTGTATAAATAAAAGAACTAAATCGAATAGCAGTAAGAGAACAAAAAACTTAGTTATATAAGTTAGGAAGTTGTGGGGAGCCTTGAATGGATGCAGCATATTAAATAATCGCAACGGTTGATAGAAATCAACTTCCGCTTAATGTTTACACAGATTAGGACCAACCAATTTATATGTTAATGAAAAGAAAGCTATGGAGAGCCATGATAGTGTAAGTCATAACGCGCTTATGCAAACGGATGACATAACAGGGATTGGAAGGAATAGAAAGTTGTGGGGAACCATGATCGCTCACGTCTTTGAGCAACATCCCTAAAGCAGTTCAAAGTAAAAACAATATATTCATTTGCCGGTGAAGTGATTATGAAAAGAAAGTTTATTCTTCTTCTATGCGCCGTGTCCCTTCAAGCCGTGATCAATCATGGCATTTTACAAGTTCCTTTTTTTTGTAGCTTGTAAATAAGGTTTGTTTTTTCACTACCCTTCCTATTCCTAGTTCTATCTATTTATTCAAGCTTGCTAGGAAGGTTACTCACTGTCTCCCTATGTCTCTGTTGCCTTAAATATATCTCGTTAATCTTAAATTCTCCAAGCCTTCTTTCTTTATATGTTAGCTAGAAATTTCAACTGTCTCTTTCTTATATTTTTTTGTCTCTATTTTCGTCTTTACATTTTCAGTTCATGTTATTTTTGGCATCCTCTTGTAGAACGAGAATTGAACTTGAATCGATACTGTTTTTATCTCTGAATATATTGACGCTAAACATTGAAAAAATCTTAATCTTACGCTATTATGCTTCGAGGACGAAATACTAACGAAGGGAATAACGATTTTATATGCTTAGTGCGTTATTCTGATCGATGCCTTATTCTATTAAGAGCTAACACTCTTTCTGTTCTTCAAAACTTCCTATTTTCCGTGTATGTAATACTGACAGATTCGAATGGTTGCCAGTAAATGTCTCCGGTATAGGTTTCTCCAGTATTCAATAACAACATTGATGGCAATAAATATTGTGTTACAGAAGTTGCCCGGAGACACCTTCTGTGAATATGATCCAGATTTTTAGTTGAACGGTAAGGATAATGGTTATATTAGCCGTTTCTTTATATTGAAAAACTCGTCATTCATTGACTGAGCAGCCAGTGCTACTGTAGGTTGAATTTATAAAATATTTCTATTAAATAATTCTTCAGGAAAACAGTTTTCCCCAGTCCACTAACTGTTATCACTCATTCCAGTACTGATGGGAATATCCTTTTTGAAATTTTGTTTAAAGTAATGTGGATTATCTTTGTTATGTCATTAGTTGCTCTTCGAATTACATGTGCTATCCATTCTAGTTGTTGCCAATGTTGAGAGTCCTTAAATGATGTGGGTTTCGATTATTTGCTAGAGTTATTTGTTTGTTA